GAGAGAGAGAGATTATTATGCGTGTAAGTCCATTCCTATGCATGCAAATGCATACAAACGCATATAAAACGTATTTTGTAATAACTCATATTGGTTATCATATTTGATTATGTGACAGAATTTCCATATATACAAGGAAAAGTAAGTACACATATATGATCTATTTTAATACGTATTATGAAGAGTTATTTAGAAAATTTTATTGCAAAGAAATTAGTTTTGTATTGCTAGATTATTAAGAATAAACCTTTCCTTTCCAGGAAATAATCATATTTCAATTTTTTCAGAAAAAATTAACTTTGTAAAAAATCTTAGAGAGATATAAAAATATTATACGTCGTAAAAAAAATTTGAAGTATTCGCACACATTAATCAGTCATTAATGGTAGGCAGAACAGTTTCATCATTGTTGATTAGTTATCTTACTTCAGTAACTCATCATTAAACATGTGCACATCATAATTTTTGATAGTGTAATATTATATATTATATATTAAATTGTAGTGAATACTATATATAGTTTTAAATCAAATTTCTTTGTTCGATTGTATTGAATAATCTAATTAGTAGAGTCTAGTAATCTAATAGTAATAATAATAATAATAATAATAGTAATAATAGTAGTAATAATCTAGTTTAACAGTTTGTTATTCTTAAATTTGATAGTTTTTCTAACTATTAAAAAACATGAAATGATTTTTTTTTTTATAAAAATTTTATATGATGTGACGATGTATGTCTGCTTTAAGAGAAACGATACTGCATAACAATAATAATAATAATTTGGTCAGCAATCTTCGTTCCTGACACTTGTGGCATTAACAAAGTAATTCAGTAGCAATTGTAGTATTACTCAGATCTCTGCGTGAGGAGACACGAATAGAGCAATTGCCGTTATAAGAAAAATTTAAGATTTCGGTTTTTATCTGATATTATTTGTCAAGTAATTTCGCAAAAGTTATGTATTTTATAGCGCAATTACAATGAAATTAAATATACGAATAAATAATGATAATATAAATTATATTATATTAGTAATGATAATATAAATTGATAGTAATTACTAAAAAACATATAAAATATAATTTGTTTTCTATAAATATATTACTAGTTTTGTATATGGTATTTACTTATATTTATGATATTCTTTAATCCTTTTTAGTCAATAAAGTGATGTTAATAAAATTCCAGATAAAGAGTAAAATTAATTATATGATTAATCCAATGTTTGTTTTGACGAAAATGATGATAATGTTAAAATATATTATATATCCCTTTCTTTCTTCAATAACTGGAAATTGAACACAGAAGGTAAAGACTCTAAGATTCCAAAGGAAAATCTACAACGATTATCAAGAAAATTTGTTTCGCTTATTTACCTCATGATTAAATGCTAATATTCTCATGATTTATATCTCTGGATTTTCCGTTTCTATTGCAACAGGAATTCATCAAGAAAATATACCTAATAGAAGCACATATGCAGCTACTGTGTAGGAGGATGTACATAAATTGTCGTCGGTGAGAAATATCAATCCTGTCTTTCCTTTCAGAGTGTATGCCAAATACAATAATAACTACTTTTCAATTAGAATTCACAGCTTTTATCGTTTGAATGGTAATGTGTTGCATAAAAATTCATTTGTGTAAAGCATTGCTTTAATTCGTTCGGAATTATTTACGGACATTAACGTCATCCACTGTACCAACATGTTATATTACGCACCGGCCCCCACCAGCCTCAATAATTCCAGTTCCCTACTGGACTTTTGGTCGGATCACCAGTCAGTTTCAATTTAATCCAGTCTGGAGTTATGTGTAAACGTAGACGCATCGAGCGCGAAGATATTCTCTCTCTTGTATTCCGGGTACCATATGGTAAATTCGCCGGCTATTGGTCATTTCTTACGAGTGACTGTTCTAACGAGTTATCCACGCTGATCTTTCTCACATAAATCATACTCATCTCTCTTGAAAGCTTGCGGTAGTATATCTCCTATTGTTTTCTGCTACAAGTCGCCGGTTTTTACCACTTTTTGACGAAAAAAAAAAAAAAAAAAAAAATAGTAAGTATTTCGTTGCGTCGAAAAGTTGCTTTTCGAAATACTCAAAGATCCAATCGATGATGTTTCATTTTCTATTGAAGAATGATTTGAACTTTAATTATTGTTTGTCATCATTACTGCGTCTTCGTTTCATGTTTGATTGGTTCTCGATTTACATTTGACTTTTGATTTGCAAATTACGCGTCGATTTCGAATGAAACTGCGAATAGAATTGTTTCCGGTAACAACGATGCGTAAATGAAAGAAAAGTAGATAGCAGAAGAGATGTAGTAGGAAAAACCTGACTGATCGTACCAATGGATGAGACGTGATCTTTGTTGTTAGATATCTTCTAAATTACTTTCCTTACTTAAATTTCTTCCAAGTTAATTCTTTTTTGATTTGATTCATTGAAATTGATGCGTAACATTTTTAGACAGACTCGTTCTTAATTATGATGTTTATGGCTAAATTAGTGTTTACCTCAACTATACGTAACGCTGGGATAAGTATAATTATCCTTAGAACAATGAAACCATTATATACTTCTGTTCCTGTGTATCGTCGTGCCTTTAGTATGAAATGTTACATGGAATAAATATCGTGTTAGCGTTTGACGATTAGTTCAAAGAATTTTGTGGAGAAAGTGAGAAACAAAAACTTACGATCGACCGTCGAGGAGGATGCCGGTGGGAGGATCGTCGAAGATGAAACCTCGATTGTTCGTTTTACTATCCTTTTTCGCGTTTTTCCATCAAAGTATCAACGCTGACAATTGTAAGTAACTTTGATAATTAATACTCCTCGTTACGAATATATTATATAAAATATATGAGCTAAAAGGAAGGAAATAGTTGGAAAATTCTTTCTCGAATGTGTACTCTTAGCAATTCATTTTTTAGAAATAAATAATTTTTTTTCTATCTACGTTTAACACGATGCCTGCAGTTACTTCGAGCGGCGAGCAAATTCGTTCGTCATTGATAACAAATTAGTCATCATTCCCCTTTGCTCGATCGTGACGAGGAAAAAACAGTGACATTGAAAGAGAAAGAGAGAGAGAGAGAGAGAGAAAATAAACATCGTCGTCGTTTCAGTAAAACTATGCGTGGTCGAGAGCGTTCACACGACGAAAAGGATCCGCGGACTTTGCAAGCAGTTGGTAATTTCAGGCAGCCCAGTAGAGTGTATCATAGGAAATGATAGGCGAGTATGACAAACAGGAAGATCGATAAGCCTTATGCTTCTTAAGATTCATTTCTTATACTCGTCGGTTTTAATGAGACACCGATCACACAGATTCAACTGCCTGCGGCGATTAACCATGGGCAAAGCTGACTTCACCGTGCTGGAACCGGAAGATCTGGTCGCAGCGTCCGCGTACAACGAATACAACATTCTAGTCACGAATGAATTAAGAGCATTTCCAGATGGTAATTACAAAGTAAATCGGACAGCAATTAAAGTTACTTCATCGGATTGCCAGCAGGCGAGGTGTTAGAAGCCATGTTCCTCCGTCATTGCATTATTCTTTTCTTTAGAGAAGCAACGTTATGAGATGGTAGTCATAGTCTCTAAAAAAGTGAGGAATATATGGGATGTGAAAGGTAAAAGATTCTGTCATCCTGGATTGGATACCACTGATGATTGGACCAATGCAATCTCTACGGTTAATTTTCTTATAATTACTTCTTGCTTGTCGTATGTATGATTACACCTGCATTAGATTATTTTCCTCAGACAGTGTAGCTGATTGTATTCACTTAAATATCAAAGATCTTTCATTTTGAACTGTTTGAAGCATTGGAGTATCAAAGAAGATAATTTATTCTTTGGTACTTACTCTCTGTGAGAACAATTTTGTTGAAAATGATCAATTAACCGATGCAAAGTACAATATAATATAAGCTTTAATAATTGAATGAGTAATTGTATCTTTGGATTCTTCTTAGATTATATTTTTCAAATAGAAAATCAATGTCGACAAACCAAATTTAACTCTTATCTAAAGACTTTTACATAACGCGATGATAAACAGCGATATTATTGTATATCTTGGCGCTCACAATTTTTATTACATGAATACTGATAAGTGACATTAAAAAATATTGTTGCTTACTAACTTTTTTTTTTTACCTTGTGAAAGTCAAATTTCAAAAGAGAAATATTTTAAGGACCACAGACACTGAACAGAGAATTACATGCATTGATATTCAACTATCAATGTTTTGACATTAAAATATTTTTAGCATCCAATGATACAATTGAGCTCAAACATAAAAATTGGACACACAACAAAATAGCAGTTAATTAAAAACACAAATGCATCATTAACAACGCTTATATTATACGATTGTAGTATTTTGAGGAATGGGTGATACTGAGAGAATGTGATCCAGATAAAACATTGTTGGAGAATCGAATGAACGGTTTGTCGAGCTTTTTCGAGACAGCCTGTATAGCTGGCCCCTGGATTGCCGACACCACGTACGACAGCAAATTAAGTAGGTATCTGGTACAGCAAATTAAATAGGTAAAATGTAATTACTTCATTTCGATCTTCTTCTTCGTAGAGTCCAAGTACAGGAATCTTTGTGCTGCGTGCGACAATCCAGTCGGCTGTTACACGACTGATACATATCACGGTCGCGAAGGCGCTCTGTTGTGCCTCACTGATAATGCAGGTGATATTGCCTGGGTTAGATTAAACGATACGTTGGAACATTTTAAGGTAGGGGGATTAATTTCTGTACAGATAACTGTTCAAGATAATTAATGAGAAGGTCGATGAAACATAGACCTCATCACTTGATTCTGAAGTTTAGAATAACATCTAACTGTAGAGTAGAATATTAAATATAAAAGGACCGATTAGTTTAAACTTTAAATTGGAGTAAAATACCTTCTCACCAGTAAATTAAAAAATGCTTTTATTCGCTAATTTCTCAGCCATAGTGTTAATTATTTCAAGTAGCGTGATGCAATATTAAAGTTTGTTGAAATGATGTAGCAATTTTGTTAACGAAACTGTGTGTTTGGAATAAGGATGAACGGATTAACAAAGAAGATTACAAGTACCTTTGTCCGGACGGTACGACCAGACCGGTGAAATTTGATAAACCATGCGTATGGATTACAAAACCATGGCCGGTGATCATCGCTAGATCGTTAGTAAAAAAGAAAAAAGAAAAAGAGACTTTAGAAATAACTCGAATGACGTATATATTCTAAGTGAGGTTTGCATTTTTTACCAGGGAGATAGCGGAAAAAGTAGAGATGATGATGCGCTCTTCGAGTACAGGCAAGTTTAGCCAATTACTGGAGAATTATCACCCGACGCCGGTGAGCACAGATACTCTGGAAACGCCTGAGGACTTCCTAATAAGATGTAATTAGCAAAGATTGATTAAAACAGTGCCTGACTTTCTACAGAGCGAGATTGTTTTTCAAGG